AGGGCTATGCTACTTGTTGAGTTGTTTCAACCTCAGAAGCAGCGACAATAATGAAAATATCACACTAGTCTCGTCCAATAAAACTCTTGCTTTGCTGTGTTTTGTGTGGATATCCACATAAACTAATGACAGGGAAGGAGGAGATATACCACTTCTGCCTGAACCCTCTGTAAGTGGGATTTATTTGTAGAGCTAAGATATAACAACAGCTTTAAAATGATCCTAAAGGATCCCAAGGAGTTCTATGGTTATTTATCATGGCAAATAAAAGTAAATACTCAAACTGCTCTTAAGACTACTTTTAGGCTAATAAGACAAAATACTGAATGTATTGTAAAACTGGAAGTGGATGAGACAATGGTAGAAACTTGCAATGGCATGACCAAGTGATGAGTGTAAATACAAAGCCATATTATCAATGTATTTGGGGCAGAAATGATACCTTTAATCTTAATTTCATAGCCAGCATTGCAAAATCAGTCTGATCATAGATTAACACTGTATTCTGAATGTGAACTTGAGAACTCTATCACTATTTTACTTTTTAGGGTATTTTTTAAAGACATTATATAGTTCAGGCTGGCCTTGATCTCACTTATGTAGGCCAGGCTGGAGTGAACTCAGTGATGAACCTCCTGCCTGAGCCTCCTGAGTGCTGGGATATCAGGCCTGTATCACTACATCTGGGAAATCACTACTGTATTCTAGGGAAGTATATTCTACTCTACAATGGAATATGTATGACATAGCATATGACTACAAGATGTAAATCTTAACTTTTACCCTTAATAAATGGAGATAGTTATTTTAAGAGGCAGATGTCTAAGGAAACATTCAAGAGTAAAGCCAAAAAACTCTTGATATTTATCAATGTGAAATAAGCAGTTTTGTTTTTTATTTTTCTGAAGCACTGAACCCAGGGCCAAGCACACGTTAGGTAAGTGTTCTGCCACTGATCTACATCCTTAGCCTTTTTTACTTCTGTGACTTTATTTTGCCAAGGCTGGCCTTAAATTTAGGATTCCTCTGCCTCAGGGTCCTCAGTACCTGGGATTATGGACATTTGCCACTATGCCCAGCTGAAATAAGCACATATAGCCATACTTTTGGCAAACAAGCTGCTTCATCACTATCAAGTTTTTTCTTATTAGTACTGGTAAGCAAACTGGTATGAATAAAATAGCCTTTTATGTTAAAATGATATTTAAAACTACCTATAGTAATTGGTCTTCAATTGCCCTGCCTCCATCATATAAAAAAAGTTAGTTGAGAGAACTTTAAGTTTGTTCTTTTTTATTCCTTCATGAACTTCTGTGAACATAAACCAGCCAGGTGCACTGTTATAAATTAAGATGTCATGGATGGTCTTCTGCCCTATCACAGTCAGCTTTCCCTAGTCTTAAACTTTGATTCAGGCTTCATTTAAGCCTAATTTCATAGCTGCATCCAATGTTTTGCTTACCTGCATGAATAATTTGATTATTTGAATAGTTACCCAGAATATCCTTTATGAAAACTTCAAAAATATATTGAAAAAACTCCTGAAACCATGTAAGATACATTTTGTACTTTTTAAAAACATACTAATCTTGTGGTTTGTTCTTACTGATCATTGGTTGCAGAGTGAAGATAGTCCACATATTCTCCATGATTTTTAAAAACTTGAGAAATCATATATGAAAACTACAAATCCCTCACCTCAAACATATTTTGGAATACTTTGTATTTCAACCCTGCCGTTTGCCTTTCACAACTGAACACAATGAATGCCCCTCCCTTTCCAATTGCAGTAAGTAAAACTGATGTCCTATAACCCCTAATATATTACTGGTCTAATGAACTAAACTTTAGAAAGTAAATATACCTCTTCTTTTTTATGGAAATGCAAATTTTATCTAAAATAGCACTTTCCAGTGGACATTTATGTGATAGAAATGTTTTGTATCTGCACTGCCCAATAGGGTAGCTACTAGCCACTTCAAATAGCAGATACTTCACATGTGGCTAAGGAACTAGATTTTAAATTGTATTTAATTAAATAATCATATGTACTAAATTAGTACTGGCCTAATAGGCCCTTCAAACATTCTGGGAAATGTCAGATGTGGAAGGCCCATTATGGGCAATTTAATAATTTTATTTATTTATTTAGTTAGTGCTGCTGAGAATCAAATCCAGGGCCTCGCACATACTAGGCAAGCACACAACCATTGACTTCCCTCCCCAGCTCTTACTAAATTTTATTTTGAGATAGGGTCTTGCTAAATTGGCCAGGTTGGCTCAGACTTCTGCCACCACCTCTCCAGTACCTGGGATCATAGGCATGTGTCTTAAGTTATCAATATTATGTTTTTAAAAGCCTTGTCATTCCTTCAATATGAAATTTCCAGAAGTTTTACATTTTCAAAAAATAAAACCCAAACCAACCAAATTCTTCAGGCTGCTTTTCTATATGAATCATCTCTTTGCAAAGAGGTGTAAGACTATTTTATTGCCAATTCTGCCCCCTCTTCTACAGACAGAATTCAGTGATTAGATTCTGCATTTATTTAGGTTATTCTCCAAAAAAACCTGGTTTCCATATTGCAAATAAAGACAGGAACTTTTCCACTAGATTATCCCAGAAAGCACAAATGTTCTTTCCAAAAGTAGAGACTGGAATCACAGCCCCCTCACATTGCCTGCTACATCTGTTTATACTTATAGAAGCGACATCTACTTTGCAAAGAATGCCAATTTCTTGGGAAAGGACTGAGAATATGGTGATGCTTGAAGAAAAGAAAGTCTCGCTATTCAAAATAAAAGATCCATACAACTAAGCAGCTAGCTACAAAGCCTCTTTGAAAATGAAAAGATTTTGCTCCTAGAGTATTGCAGATTCTGTGTACAGGCTGGGCTCTGACCTAGTCATAATCATTTTCTACCTAATAAAGCTGTGAGTAAGTCACAAAACCTAATCCTTAGTTTTCTCATCTGTAAAATGTAAGTAATGATGTTCTGTTGGGAAAAGTATGAAAAACTATGAAATGGACCAAAGCCTGCATGTTATCTTCAGGACTCTAGTCCACATCTTTGACTGCTATTTCACTACTCTGTAAACTGTAGAAACTTATGGTGATGTAAATAATTCTTATCAATAGAAATGCAAATTTGTTAGGTAGAGATATTGGTTCCCACCCTGTAGAACAGAAATGATTACCCCCCCCCCCATCTGCTATTTGGATTTGCCCGGTTTCAATTACCCTTACCAACTTTCCATCCCGGTGTGAAAATATTAAATGAAAAATTGTAGAGATAATCCATAACTTTTAAATAAGTTTTACTATCCTATAGTTATGTCAATTTTATTACTGTTAACCTCTTTCTACACTTAATTTAACTAAGCTTTATCATAGGAATGCAGAGGAAAAAAACCCAGTGCAGATAGGATTCAATACTATCTTTGGTTTCAAGCATTGGATTGGGGATGCTCAAACGCATCCTGTGAAGATAAAAGGGGCGACTGTAATCTTTTAAACATTGCATTTCAGTTGTTTTTTTTTTTTTGGTAACGGGGATCAAACTCAGGACCTTGCACAGCAGGCAGGGGAACCACTGAGCTAAATCTTCGGCCCTTACTTCTTTCTTGATTGATAATATATTTTAATGGATTGCAGTATCTTGCTGGTTCCTTCCCTATTAAGTCAAATTATTTTTCACCCATGTTCACTATCATTGAGTCAAATAGTATTTTTTTTTCTTTTTTTACCTTTATTCACCTTATATTTCTACAGTAGTCATGTTTTTACCTTGAGAAATTGAGAGTTTCAGCTCCATAGGCTTTCTGGAAGGATTGGTTTGAAAGTCCACACTGATAGTCATGAGCCTTACTTCCAGTATTCTGGGGGTCAGAGAGGTAGCACTACCATTGCTAAGAGAAGAGTGTAAGGGCCCGGCTGAGTGGGCGGACAAGTGAGAGGCCTTCTTCACCCATTCCCTTTTAGCAGAGGGATCTTGGAGTCAAGGTGGGTGAGAGAGACCAGGCTCAGTGGCTCAGGTGGAGGCCACACTGGAGAAGGGCTTAGGACTCGGGCTAGGGCTTCCAGGCCAGTGGCCCGGGACTTGGATGCCTGGGGTCTGGGAGTTAAGTGGAGACCACGTGGAAGCCCCAGCAGCCGGCAGCCTGAACCTAGTTCCGGAACCCACTCTGGCCGGGCCGGCAGCGCAGGCCTCGCCCCAGGCCCGAGGCCCCTCGCCCACGGCCGAGGGGGGTGGGGCGGCCTCGCCGAGGGCCGGTGTTTTTCGCCCTCCCTCGGCCGCCAGAGGCTCCCTCTCCCTCTCCTGGGATTTCGCTGCTGGGCTCCCTCTCTCCGCGGCCCTAGAGTTAATCCCATCAGCCGAGGTGAGGCACCTGTTACCCCGGGCCTTCCACACCCCCGCGGCCTGTCCTCCATGACTCCCCGGAGTCCCCGCCGGGGTACCGGCCGCGCGCGCCTGCGGCGCACGGGGGCCCAGCCCCTTCCCCGGCCGGGCGCCCCAGCCCCGGTGCGGCCCGAGGTGCGAGCGCGCGGGGCCCGCCGCCGGCGGCACGCGCGTGGGGGCTCAGGCGCGAGGGGACGCGGCCGCGCCGTGAGGAGCCGGGCTGCGCGGGCGGGGGCGCCACGGAGAGGGGCGCCGGGAAGAGGAGGGGGCGCGGCGAAGAGAAGGGGCACCTGAGGCGGGGGCGCGCGGCCCGAGCCTCCCGCCCGCCCGCGGCCGGCGCCGCCGCTCCCGCTCCGCTTGGTAAGGGGGGAGGTCGGCGCGGGGCGCAGAGCGGGCGGGCGGCGCCGAGCAGGAAAATCCGCAGGCGCTGAGCTGAGGCGCAGGCTGAGGTGGGGGCGGGCTGGGCTGGGGTAAGATCGGAGGCACGATCAGTGGGATCTATTGTTCCCCGCACACTGGGAAGAAAAACAAAGGGATTTATTATTATTATCGTATAATTTTCTTTTTCTTTTCTTCCCCCTTTTTAAATGTGGCCAGGGAGCTCGTCTTTTCCCGTGCCACACCGGGAGCCGCAGCCCCTGTGTTAGGACTTCAGGTGCTCCTGGCACAAAGCTAGACTGCGACCTCCTACCTAGCGTTTGGCGTCACCTGCTCTCCCGGCCCTGCCCCGGGGGGCCGAGGGACTGCGCCCGAACCAGGCTTGTGAACCGGATGCCTCTCAAGTTGGTGTTATTTATGTTTGTCTTTTGTGAGGGCAGGATTTGAATCCCAGGCGGCCCCAGCGCCCCCGCCCCCGCTGCTCGGGCTCGATTGGCGGGGGAGGGAGGGAGGGAGGGCTGTGCGAGTCCGGGAGACGGGAGGGTGTGGACGGCTTGGAAAAGGTCAGGGGAGGAGGAGATTGTCGATGCTTTACCAGAAAAAGAAAAAGGAAAAAAACAAAACAAAAATCCAGGCACCACACTCTGAAGCCTTTCTCGTTTGTCTGCATGGGTGATGCATGCATGCTGGGCCAGGAAATGAGTTTGGAGGCGATTTAAGTGAAAGTGTGCTTCCTCAGCTGATGGTGTATGAGGGTGATGTGGTTCCGGCTCATAATAAAACAAATAAAGCAAAAACAAAACGAAAAATCTTTAGAACTGCATTGTCTGCTCTTCAGCAGATCTCGGAGTATTTGTCTGTTGGCTTATTGATGGAAAATCCAGCTGTGGGTGAGAGAGCAGCAAGCTTGTGCTCCCTTGTGCTTTAAGCCTGTAGTAAGTTAGAGGTAAGAAGGAATAAACAAATCAAGGCTGTGAAAAATGTCATGGTATATTTGCTTTTTGATTGTCACTTTCCCATACATTTGTTCCCGTCATGGACAACATCCCACCTCATAATTAATATCCACTGTTGGGAATCCTCCAAATATTGGTTATAACTGAACTTAGGGTGAAACTTATTGGCATTCAGGAACTTTTTCCTGCTTGTTTCTAAGAGTGCACTGGTGTTGCTTTGGAGGATGCTGTAAATCAGAACATTGGATCAGAAAGAGTAAAATAATAAGCCTCATTAGGCATGTTAGGAGTGTGTATATTACAGACTTTTGATTGTACTTAGAAAAAGTTTTACCCGATGATGGAGAATCCCAAATGAAATTGATTTTGTGGACATTTTGGTGATTTAAGGTACATAAATTGCTGGATATGTTTAAGGTCATTGACAAAAAGCAATAAAAACTCGGGCTAATGTATTGATTTCAAATATACTTTAGTGTGTGTGTGTGGGGGGGTATTTGAGACATTTTTATTATCAGACCAATGAGAATGATAGCTTTTAACTTCGTGACTTTTGACTTTTCATTTCAGTAGTAATTTCTTGTTTGACCTGTGGCTAACCCACTTAGAAAATAAAGTATGTATTAGTTGAGTAAAATAAACTCAAATAAGTACATGAATTCAGAACTTCATTCTTTTCTATTACAGATGAACCTTTAGTGTTGCTTTGAAAAAGCCACTTTGTAACTCTTGACTGTGAATAATTTCCTCACACACCTGTTGGGCGGATCGCTGACCGAGTATGCCATTTGAAAGGGCCTGCTGGTGACCAGATATTGGTGATTAGAAAAGTGAAGTGTTTTTGTTTTTATTTTTGTTTCCTGAGCATTATGAACATTGACTTTTCACCCTTGAAGTAAAAATGTTGAAAGCTGAGTCTTCAGGTGAACGGAGCACTCTCAGAAGTGCCTCTCCCCACAGGAATGCATATAGAACTGAGTTCCAGGCACTGAAAAGTACTTTTGACAAACCCAAGTCAGATGGGGAACAAAAAGCAAAAGAAGGTGAGGGCTCACAGCAGAGCAGGGGCAGGAAATATGGCTCCAATGTCAACAGAATTAAAAATCTGTTTATGCAGATGGGTATGGAACCCAATGAGAATGCTGCAGTCATTGCCAAAACTAGGGGGAAAGGTGGATCTTCATCCCCTCAGAGAAGGATGAAACCCAAAGAATTTCTGGAGAAAACAGATGGCTCTGTTGTTAAGTTGGAGTCCTCTGTCTCTGAACGAATCAGTAGATTTGATACAATGTATGATGGCCCCTCGTATTCCAAGTTCACAGAGACACGAAAGATGTTTGAGAGAAGTGTGCATGAGTCAGGACAGAATCACCGATATTCCCCCAAGAAAGAGAAGAGTGGAGCGAGCGAACCACAGGATGAGTGGGGCGGGTCCAAATCCAATCGAGGCAGTACTGATTCCTTGGACAGCCTTAGCTCCCGCACTGATGCTGTCTCCCCGACTGTGAGTCAACTGAGTGCAGTATTTGAGAACACTGAGTCCCCCAGTGCCATCAGTTCTGAGAAGGGAGAAAGCAGTGAGTATTCGGTGACTGGGCATTATCCCCTGAATTTGCCGTCTGTTACTGTTACAAATCTCGATACCTTTGGCCACCTTAAGGATTCTGATTCTTGGTCTCCTTCGAACAAACACGAAGTTGATACTGAGGATGCTCAGAAGAGTAATACAACTCCAATAACAGAAGTGACTCCTAAGAGTGTATCTCCAGCGTCATTGCCTAGTGAAGAGACACAGCAGAGCAAGGAAGCCGAGGACTCCACATCTAACCAAGAGACGCCGAGCAGAATTGATAAAGACATTCCGGAAGAACCTTGTGCTGACAATAAGGCAATGCCAAGGTCTGCGATCCTTTCACCACAAAATGAACCTTCAGGAGGAGCTGGAGCTTATTTGGTTGGGACTGAGGCAGCAAAACAACAGAGGAAAGAGCTTGCAACTGGTGGTCTCACCTCTCCTGATGCTTCTACATCCAGCTATGGAAAAGAAGTACCTGAAGACTCCAGTAATTTTGAGAGCTCCCATGTGTACATGCACAGTGACTATAATGTGTATAGGGTAAGATCCAGGTATAATTCAGACTGGGGAGAGACAGGCACTGAGCAGGATGAGGAGGAAGATAGTGATGAGAACAGTTACTATCAGCCCGATATGGAGTACTCAGAAATTGTCGGATTGCCAGAAGAAGATGAAATCCCAGCAAATAGGAAAATTAAGTTTAGTAGTGCTCCAATTAAGGTAAGTAATATGTCTTAAATTGTTTAGTTCTGGGGCCTAACTGTATGTAGAAGAGGTTTGACAACTAATGAACGTTTCTGTAAAGGAATTTAAGATTGTTGATGTGCACCTGTTTTCAGATGCTTTTAAAAGTTTGGAGTTTGAGAGATCTCAGTTACATTTCTTAATATGCTTTATCCTGATAGAAACTAATAGTGAGCAAATGTGAAAGTTGAGGAAGTTTGGAGATTGTGAAATGCATTCCACTGGACTGGAGTATGAATAAAATGAGCCCTGAAAACCAGGAGCGTTTGTTTGAAATAAAACTATAACAAGTTTTACTTAACATTACCTGTAAAAGCTTTGAATCTATAAACCTTAAGATCTGAGGTATAAGGTACATCAGGTAAATTATGGTAACCTTGAAATAATCGTCTTTATTTACTTCCTTAAAAAAACCTCAGTTATTCCTTACTTAAGTGTAAGTGGATTGTGAGGAATGTTGTTGGAACTTTTTTTTCTTGATTGATACTTAGTAGTGAAAATTTGATTTATGCGAATATATTAGCTGACTTAAATACTGTGATTGAAAAGCTCCAACTCTAAACAGCTTTGAATTCAGAATTTGTTTTGTAGTTTTAAAATGAGATTTTGTGAAGGGAAGTAAAATTGATTTGCCATTCATGCATTTATTTTACTTCTTAAAAACTGGATAAATGCCAGTTGAATTGAGATGCTCTGTTCTAATGACTTCACTTAGCTAACATTTGGTATAAAGAGTTGCACAAAGTGCCCCAGCACAAAGTGCGCCAGCAGCGGGTGGTGCAGCATTATTAGGGATAATGGCAGTAGGGGCAGGAGGTGCTTGGTTGAGTAGCAGAATCCCCTGGAGAATTTTTCACAGTGTCCTTGCCCACCAGCTCAGCCCTCAGATTCTGGCATACTCTCCTTAGGGAAGCCATGGGATTTTGGTGGCAACTGTGTACTTTGAAACTGCTTTGTAGGAGGGTCCTAGCTTGTGTAATGTTTGTACGTATGATAGACGTGGAATATGATATTATATCTCTTCAAAATCTAAAGTCACTATCCACTGTCATGTCTATCATCTGTATAAAGCTGTAAGATAAATAATGAACATAGAAATAGTCACAGAGAAGTCTGATGTTTTAATTATGAAATAGTATGTTTAAATGAAATAATAATCTATGAAATTATTTACAGTGCTTATAGGCAAATTTTCATTTTTATTAGTGTAAGGCAGAAGGTCTGGATCAGAATGGGCCATGTCCAGTTAGACTGTGTTTAAACCAGAGACATGAGTCTGGTTTGCAAGTAAGCTAAGTTTTATTTCAGTCTCTACCACTGTCCTGTGATTCTCTCTCCTTTGCTGTCCCCTGCTCCCACTTCTTAGAGTCTTCAAAGGTGCCCTCTCCTCAAACCTGTCTAATGAGCTGCCAAACTTCTGCATTCATGACCCTTTTGAACATCATCTTTCTGTCACTTAGGAGGAAAGCAATATGATTAAATTGTTTCACATTGAGCAAAGCACGAATAACTGAAATGAACTCTTAAAAGGAGTTTGTTAACCAGGAGACTTTTTAATAGAGGGACAGCAGTTTGTAAAAATTTACCAAGTAGAACATTAGTCATGCAACCCAGTGGGACACCAGCCTGTATTCAGATATTGGCCTGCACAGTAATAGGTTTGATAGATTTTAAAGGATTTATCAATGAAATACATCTGTTCATATGTGAACAGACAAGCTTTTTGGACATGATATTTTGAAATTCAAATGATTTTTTTATTACTCTTGCTTATAATAATAGGCATTTTGCCTCTTAAACTCATACAGTAAATAAGCTGGATTTCATCTTGCAAAGAATGAAAATAAATTATATTATATTTAAATTTAATGTGATTTTTGAACTTAATCAAGCATATGATTTGTGAAACAAACACTGCGATATGTTTTATTGGGCAGTTAGCAGGACTGGTTGTAGTGGATTAAGTTTGCAAACAGAACGGTCATTATTAGTCCTCTTGTTATGAATAGGACAATTACTTTTTCTCGTTGCTTCTGTCGTTTATGCAATTGAATTGATTCAGTTTGGATAATTTGAGAGCTGCTTTCTACTGGTCTTCGTACTGTTTTGGTTATTTTCAATTAAGTTTTTTTTTTTCCTCAGAAGGTGGTAAACAACTAAAGTCAACAAATATTAGGAGGGTCTTGTAAGTATTTTTTGATGCTGCTAGCTGCAGAAGACACAAGAATCTTACAAGGTTACCTCTTTCCTCTGTGACTGTATAATTCTTAAAAGTACTGAATTTAAAACTCATATAATACAGTATACAAAACTGAGCCAAAATGTATACTGTCCTAAGAGTCCTTTAATAGTATTTGACTGTACTAAATATAGGATGAAAGGTATTTAATATATTATTTGGAACTGAAGATATTCATTCATTCCTTATGTATGTTACTTTAAAACTTTGCTTATGGAATAGGAAGTTATGATTTCCACCCGAAATCTTTTCTTTTGGAATTTAAATACACTTCCCTTTAAGAAACACTAGGAAACATTTTTTAAAGCAATGAATTTTAAAGCTTTCATATTCTTTTTCTGATATTTTTATTGTTTACTAGGTGAAATATTCCCTATACCTTTAAGTGTTTTGTTGTAGATCTTGTTCGTATTTGTGTGTGCTCAGTATCAAATTCAGCTCTTTTGTAGATGTTTTAAATATATTACTCTTAGATGTCTTAAATCTGAACCTAGAAAAACAGCAAACTAGCACATTCCTTATAGTGTTAGTGATTTAGAAATGGTCAGATTTTACCGCTGGCCAGCAGAGTGAGTTTCCAATCTTTCATGGACAGAGTTCTTACTGGGTAGGTTGATATGCTTTATAGGGCCATGTTCTATTAAGAATGGGATTGATAATAGAAAATATAAAATTCACCTTTGAGATATGGGATGGGAGAATGTTACAAGCCATTTTGATCTGAGATGTGTAATTACACTTTTCATTCTTAGGAATTTTTTAAATCCAAAGGAATGAGTTAAAGTAAATGTGTCCTAGATAAATCAAGGGTAGAGAGCATGACCTTTGTCATTATTTTTCTATTAGTTTGGAACATTCACTATGTCCCTGGCATGTATAAGGAACACTGAGAATATCGTACACATGACTGGTGGTGTCCCAGACCTGAGCTGCTGGTAGGTGGGGTGTGTGGCCCTTTAACAAGGCTTCTCAGGCCCTTCTGCTCAACTGTGCTCTTGGATGACCTTTCTGAGGTCACTGCAACCTCATTAAGTCATAACCTTTTCTCTGTCACTAGTAGCCTTATATCCTTTGAATTGGTATTCTTTAAAGAGCATTATTTGAAAAAAATTTTTTTTTTCTTACCTTCTAGCAAGTAGGAGATTGCACAATTAGTGTGGCGGTGCAGTGTGCTATACTTTGCTTGTTTTCTCAAACTGCATGGAGCTTTTCTTTTTTTCTGTACTGGGCATGGAACCTAAGGACACTCTGCCACTGAGCTGTATCCCTAGCCTTTTAAATTCTTTATTTTGAGATGGTCTTGTTAAACTTCCCAGACTGGTGAGCTTTCGCTCCTCCTGCCTCAGTCTTCTGAGTAGCTGTGTACCACCGTGCTGGGCTGGGACTTACAGAGCTGGAGTTCAGAGGAGGATCAGGAAGGGCAGTAATACTTTTTTAAACCTTACATGATAGTTGTTGGGAATGGATTGCTTTGTAGTCTCACCCTCTTTTGGGGACTCTGAGGCATAGTCTGGGTTACAGGAAAACTTTTTGTGCAAGATGGTGTGCAGAGCACAGTTCTTCTGAGATCTAACCTTTTGTCTTGTGGAAGCTTCTCTGTCTAACAGTTTTGTCAGTGTGTGTTAATTTTAATATGCATATGAATCACTTTGAGATTCTTGTTAAAATGCAGATTTTGTTTCAGTAGGTGTTCTGTGGGAAAGTACCTCGATGCAATGGTTAGCCCTCAAGTACAGAATTAGGCGAGCTATCTCCGAGGTTACAGAATAGAGGCATTCAGCAACCAAATTAAAATGCTTGAATCTTATTATTTATTAAATCCATGTAAAGTACAAATCCAGGAGCAGGAGGAAAGTCATGGAATAAGTTAACACACTCAGGTGCAAAGCAAGGTGGAAGGATCAAACTACCTGCCTCTCAGGCACTCCATGTTCAGCTGATCTGTCTGTTTCTCATACCAGCCTTCCTCACTGGTGGCGTGATTATGCAGAAACCCCACAGACTGATGGTGCTCTGTGTCCGTGATGCACACTTGCTCTTTTGAAAAAAATGTGGGACATACGCATTTAGGTATAGCTGTACTATGCCAGTTTGTCTGCTCGTGAGCCTTGGGTTTTTATTTGCTTTAATGGATGCAACACCTGTGTTTCTACAAAGGACGATACTGAATGTCCGTAGTGGTTTGATACGAAGATGACAAAGGTGTCAGTCTAGAGTGGCATAATAATGACTTGGTCTTTCTATCCCTTTCTATTAGTAAACCTCTTTTGTTCCATCATATTTTCTGTTTATTCTTTTTGTAATAACATATAATAGGTTACTAACTCACATATTTTTAGTATGTTTTCTGAATTCTGCCTTCATATCACCAGCTTGCATTCTTACTGTCTGTATTTAACAAGCCTGAGTGAGCTTATTTACATTTTTTTTTTTTTTTCGGTACCAGAGATTGAACTCAGGACCTCAGGACCTTGCACTTGCAAAGCAGGCCGGGTGCCACTGAGCTAAATCCTTGACCCTTGTTTACAAGGTTTACAAGTTTTTGATGATCACTCTTTATGAGTTTCCTCTCCTCCCCTTCCCTCATCTCCTCTCTTCTCTCTTCTCCCTTCCTTTCCCTTCTTCTCCTCCCTCCTTCCCTCCCTCTCTACCTTTCCTGCTAGGGATCTAACCAGGGCGCTGCACATGGTAAGCAGGGGCTTTGATCACTGAGCCACATCCACAGCCCGAATTTCTT